TTCCAAAATCTTAATCGACTACTATATGTTATAGTAAATATAGCGACGTGATGGAAAAGTTCTCCTGTCATTCTTCACAAAATGAAAAAAGAAAAATAAAATTTTCAAATAAAAAAGGGAAGAAGCAGAACAAAATGTCACGTTGTAGTTACCAACTGATGTGACCAATTTGCTTTGGAAGTAACTATTACGATGCTGATTCGTTTCTCGATCGACATTGTTAGAAATAAAATTTTAAAGATAACAAAGTGCAGTTTAGTAGTAAGACGGTTCACCTGTTGACTAATAGGTTACGGGTTCGAGTCACGCTATAGATAAATGAAGAACTACTATTGATCCCTTTTAAAAATTTTAAAATTTTGAGAAGTTAATTATTTCAACTGGTGTATGGAAATTTGTCATCCCAAATGTCTTGATCTTTCCTCCCCCAAAAGGATCATATATGTGATAATTAATGTGAGGGAAGTATTAAAAACAAAAGAAGCGAATTGGTAAAGTATCACGTGAAGTTTGATCTAGAGTAAATAAAACCTCTCGTTTATTCTCACGTAGAATGCTATTGTTTCAAAGTGATGTTACACACACAAACAATATCTGTATTATGTATAAGGCTTTTTCCACGAACAAATATATATATATATATATATATATATATTCATCCCAAATTCCCAATAATCACCATCATACAGGGGGGTGGGGAGGGGGGAAACAGAAGGTAACTGAAGAAATATGTAAGACAATATTGATTTGAAAGAATTATTTCCATGAATCATAAGTAGTATGTACACAGTACATGAATATATAGAGGATGTACACTTGATGATAATTAAGCCTACGACTCTGGCATATCTATACCAAATATACATAACAATGCATAGCCGCACACACTAAGGAAATTATCTACACTAATAATAACAAAATATCATCCAATAGTAACCTTAGGAAAACCAAAAAAAATACAATTCGAATGCCAATGTTTGCTGTATATATATACCTTATTACAACAACAAGAGGTTTTAGGTTTGTTGGGGCATTCTTGTTTTATGGAAAAGACAAGGATCGATCGACATATGCAAATCTCCATCGTGTATTTTAGTTATTTGCGTGCATGTTTTTCCTTTTTTCATTTGTGAGAGTAGCGACGTTTGCCTTTTGGTAAGTGTGATATGCAAGTCTTTTAGGGCTTAGGGTAAGCGTCAATGAGGTTCCTAGCTATATCAAAATTGCATTTTTACTACTCCCAAAATAATATTTATATTTAATGTACTGTTTTGAAACGATAATATTACTTTGTTTTGAGATAAAAGAAATATGATCTTAAAAAAAAATGTTGAAGTGAAAAAATGAACCCTAAACGGATATATGTAATTAACCATTTAAGTTTTTGAGATGGAAATTAATATACTCTCAAGTAACTAACACTTGAGACGATTTACTCGTACCATTTCAAAAATTTGTCTGAAAAGGTCCCTTCTTTTTGTAATGTTTCTTTGATAGAGATTCTTGTATAATTCAACGGATTTTATAGGGGAATTTTGGATTTTGTTAGTATTGTAATCTTGTACGACTTTGTTTCGTAGGTTGGCCTTATATACTGTTATAAACAATTTTCTAATGCTTTTGAAAATGTCTTCTCAAGATGACATATATTATACTTCAAAAATGAACAAAAGCCCTGAAGATACATACATACAAGATAACACAACCAGACAATTATTTGCCATGCAAAAAAAAAAGACAGCTAAAGATATTGTTGATCAGTTGATTTTTTTTTTTTTTCCTGGTCAGTTGAATGAAATTCTTACGTTTGACTATCTATTTTTTCGGTTTGAAAAATAAGAGCTTATAGTTTATAAAAACGATTTCAATAAAATAACCACAATTATTAATAATATAGAACATAGAAGTTGCTTAAATCACACCTCTATATAAAGCCAATTCCCCTTCCACAAATATATATATATATATATATATATTATATAATAACCGAGAAACAAAAATCTTTAAAATGAACCTTTTTTCAAAAAAAAAAAAAAAATCTTGGGGATTGTACGTTTTCTTTTTTCTTTCCTAGGTGAGCTGCTGCACTATGCCCTAGTTGGTTTCGAGGGTTGTCCAATAAATTCGGAAGAGAGAAAGCAAATCAAAATTTAAGAGGTCAAGACCACGAAAAACTAAAAAGCATGGATCAATTAAGAGGTCAACATGCAGGTTAATTATGGCTCAAGAAAAAACCAAACGTCTATTTTGACTTTTTTTTTTTTTCTAGATTCCGTAATGTTCCCATGATAATAAAACTTTTAACCTTTTTTCTACAAAATAGTTTTTTTTTTTTAATGGTTCTTTACTTTTCACATTCGGTATTCATAATAAAAATATAGGACTACTAGAAGTGAATAATTTTTGTATTATTAAAATCTTTATAGTTTTTTTTATTATTACTACTATAAAATCAGTTTGGTACAAAAATCCATCAATTGTTTTCGACGAAACAAATTAAGGACGTGGTTTTCTCCATTAAAATTCTGTTTGATTATTAATAAGTAAAAAAAACATGTAAATAGATAAAATAGAAACAAATTGCTCAAATGAAAGCGTTTGGAAATGATATGGATCTAAATAAAGGTCCAAACGTGTTTGTGACTACAATAACCCTAGTGTAACGTTTGTTTATTTTCATTTCTTTGAAGTTGACTCGAATTGAAATTAGCAATAAGCTAACCGAGTGGAGTACGAGTTCTAATTCTATCAATATACACAACTCAATATTCAAGCTCATTAAAAAAAAATACAATTGGTTTACGAGTCGAATTACGCTTGCAATTCTAGTTCAATTTAATTACTACTCTACATTTGGGTGAAAAGTTTGTCTCTTTACACATTTTGACAAACTATTTAGGGGTCATTCGTAGTTTCTAAATAGTTTGGGGTGTCGGTGGTTTTAGCTATTTTACCCTTATAATCCTTTGCAATTGAGGCCATATAATTTAATCCTGTATATTAGTTTTTTATTTATGTAATACTAATAATTAACATATTTTTCAAGGAATATAATTATAGCTTAATGTTGATAAACTTATTAATTTGAAAAAATAACATCGATAATTCATTTCACTTATATAAATTGTCAAAATCAATAGCCATACAACCATCAATATTAATTTGGGTTAGAAAAAACTTCACACTCCATAAAAATCTCCAAATAAAAAATTTATTAAGGGATTACAAAAATGCAGTGCAAAACTCATATCTTGATATTTCTAGGGGCAACATTCATAAACAAACATTTATGACAAGAAGATATATGTAATGTAATACATTGTTTAAAAAAAAAAACATTTACGGCATTGAAACAAGATACAGTGAAATAAATTATTACTCCCTTCATTTCAATTTATAGGTCGTTTTTGGTTTACAAATATTTTTCAAAATGTAGATCGTTTTACAAATTCTAGGCAAATTAATGACTATTTTTCTAACTTCACCCTCAATAAATGATGCCAATATATTTTCAATTAATCTTATTTATAGTTCTAATATAATTAATGAGGGGTAAAACAAATATTTAATACATAAATGAATGGTTGTATGATTATTTCCTTACATTTTGAAATGGAAGGAGTAGTATTTTAAAAAAGGAAATTATTTAAAATGAAATGTTACAAATATCTCTCGACAAAATTAGTATCACTGTCACATACCAAAAAGGAAAAAAAAATCACCATGACACCTGTAATCTTAACGGAAGAGTTCAAAAAGGCAACAACAAGTTTTAGCATCCACGGTAAATTTAAAGTAAAAATTTTGCCATCTTTAAAATATCAAGACATCATCATCTTTCATTTCTCCTGATAATCCACGAAACACATCCCTCCTCCGTCTGTCTGAATTTCTTCCGGCATTGCATTTACGAAAGACTTTTATTGTTTCGAATTCATTCAGTATTTCTAACTTAGATTTGCAGGAGAAGTTCCAATTCAAACAAGGGGACTCAATTTTTAAAATTTGGTAGAGAGTTAAAGATATGCAAATTAAATTAATTCTACTAATACACCACCCATAAGAACTGTTGTCCAGAAAAAAAGAGTAATGTAACATGTTGATTTTGTAAGGGAAAAAAATATGATAATTATCTCCAATTTCGTAAAACATAAGAAATTCGGAAGAAAAGAACATGATTAGAGCAAGGCTCGAAATTATTACAAATAGCAGCACATGTATGTGCAAAATTACTTTTTAAAGCTTTTTGCATCAAAGGATTTGAAATTCCCTAACCCAAAAATTGTAAACAATATTATATTTCATTCAAAACCAAAAATGTTGGCCTCAACAATATTAATCTTCTTTCTTGAACGAGAAATAGGAAACCACATTCACGCTTTCGTTTTTTGGCTAAGCCACGGAGGAGACTGAGGGTATTGGGGAGAGGTTAAAAGGAGATTATACGCATTGATGTTTTTTAGGATGGGTAAATGTGTATTTTTACTCTAAATTTGACATGGATACTAAAATCTATTGTGTCAGAATCAATAGTCGTTCAAAAATCAATATATTGATTAGATTGCAATATAAAATGTTATATCCAAAATTAATATGTCACAGTTCGAAAATAGTGGGATCTTATATTGATGGTTAAGGCTATTTAAGAATGTCGTAAAAAAATAGCACCACTACTAATTAATTTTCTTAAAATGATATGGTTTAGTTGTGAAAAAAACAACCGAAAAAGGGAGGAAAAAGAGAAAAAAAGTATCTCTAATGAAATATAAAACACTAATAAATTGAAAGGTTTAAAACAGTGTGCAATGAATATCTAGAATTGGTATTATCCTAATTATCATTGATTAGGGTCTATCTTTTCCTTAATTTTTCATTAAATACAGTCTATCTTTTTTGACTCAATATCTTTGCTTGATCCAACACCCCCCAACTCCCATTTTTAGTCCACTCTGAATCTTCCTCTTTCCATTAATTTTTCCAACTCTTTTTTTTTTTTTTTTGAAAAGAAAAAGAAAAACAAAAAGAAAAATTCTTCAAACCTTATTCTTCTCCCTCCCCACCATTAGTCCAACTCCCTCAAATCTCTCTCTATCTTCCTCCCCTTTCCTTTTACCTTTCTCTCTCACACACTCACACAGTTACAATCTCCCTCTCTCTTTCTATCTCTCTCTCCAATCATCCATTACTTAATCAATCATCAAAATCTGAAGAAAAGCTTTTTTCTTTTCCAACTGTGGAACCTAAACAGGGAAACCCCACACAAGGTTAAAAGAAGAAAAAAAAAAAAAAGGAAAAGGAAAAAAGAAACACAAAAACCATCACCACCACCACCAACAACAGCAACAACAACCAGTCCCTCCCAAGAAACCAGAAGATTCCCAATTTTTAATCTGAAATTTTTTTCTGACTTTTTTTGTTTTTTTTAAAAAAGAAAGCTTTCATTTGTGCCACCATTTCCATTCACCTTCACCATCTCCACAGACCCATATCTCTTTCCTTCCTTTCTTCTTCCACCATTATTTGTTCTTATCAGATATACACAAACGAAGAACAGAACATAGTAGAAAAAGAAAAAAAGATTGATTTTTTTCTTAGCCCTAACCCCCATTTTACTTATTCTTTTTTGTCCCTTGCTTTATCTTTAGGAAAATCAACAGATTAGCCCCAAAATAGGAGCAACCCATTTGTGGGTATTGCTTGAATCCGCAAGGAATTTGCATAATAAATGTCCCAGATGAAGCACATTGACAATATCCCGTCGACCCCAGGAAAGTTCAAGATGGAGAAATCTCCATACAATAGATGGAGGCTACATTTCTCCCTGGCCAAGCTTACTTTTTGGTCCTTTGTCTTCTTGGGCGTGATCTTTATGTTCTTCTTCAGATCACCTTCTCCCCCCTCACCCCATTCCTCAGATCTCTCGAGAAGGTCCCTCAGAACGAGCTCTTATGACGACCCTGCCTGGGAGAAGAGGATCAAAGCCTCCGCCAAAGTCAGGTCGAGAAATGGTATGTCTGTTTTGGTTACCGGAGCTGCTGGTTTTGTAGGCACTCATGTTTCTTCTGCCCTGAAACGCCGTGGGGATGGCATTGTAGGGCTTGATAATTTCAATGATTATTATGATCAATCATTAAAAAGAGCCCGGCAAGCGCTGTTAGAGCGCTCCGGGGTGTACATTGTGGAGGGTGATATTAATGATGTTGCTCTGTTAAAGAAGCTTTTTGACACTGTACAATTTACTCATGTTATGCATTTGGCCGCTCAGGCTGGTGTGCGTTATGCCATGGAAAATCCTAGCTCTTATGTGCATAGTAATATTGCTGGCCTAGTTAGTTTACTTGAGGTTTGCAAAAGTGCGAATCCCCAACCTGCAATTGTTTGGGCATCCTCTAGTTCCGTTTATGGATTGAATTCTAAGGTGCCCTTTTCGGAAAAAGATAGGACAGACCAGCCTGCAAGTTTGTATGCTGCTACTAAGAAGGCTGGTGAGGAGATCGCACATACTTATAATCACATTTATGGGCTCTCGTTGACTGGATTGAGATTCTTCACCGTTTATGGACCTTGGGGGAGACCAGACATGGCTTATTTCTTCTTTACCAGAGATATTTTGAAAGGGAAGTCCATTCAGATTTTTGAGGGAGCTAATCATGGTACAGTTGCCAGAGATTTTACCTACATAGATGATATTGTAAAGGGTTGTTTGGCTTCGTTGGATACTGCGGAGAAGAGCACAGGCAGTGGTGGGAAGAAGAAAGGGCCGGCTCAGTTGAGGGTGTTCAATTTGGGGAACACTTCACCTGTGCCGGTTTCGGAACTTGTCAACATTTTGGAGAGGTTGCTGAAGGTGAAGGCTAAGAAAACTATAATGAAGTTGCCAAGGAATGGGGATGTGCCATATACCCATGCCAATATCAGCTCGGCTCAGAGGGAACTCGGATACAAGCCTACAACTGATCTACAAACAGGGCTGAAGAAATTTGTCAGGTGGTACCTCAGTTACTACGGTAATGGGAAAAAGAGTGCCCAGTGATACATTCATTCATTTGTGTGGTAGGATCATTCGATTCTTGTTCATTTTGATTCTTACAATTGTTTTTAACATATCTCTGTTGGTTACCCCCCATTATCTTGTTCACATATATCCTCATGATGCCTTGCGAGGGGGCATTTCCTATTCCACGATGAAGAAGCTTTTATGTTTGGTGATTGATGGATAACTGTTTGCTGGGCATCGTGGTTCTGTACCAAAAGAAACCTCAATACCACCTTTTTTCAGTCCTGGGGATGTAATTGTTGTAGTTTCATTACTGTAGAATTTGTGACCATAGAACAATTTGCTGATTGGTGGACGTGTATCACTTTATGAGACTTAAAATAAAAATAGCACACGATACTTCAGCTATTATTAATTCTTATAGATATATCTTATTCATTTATGCTTCACATTGCACTTACTTTGCATCAAATTTGTGGTGTACTGTAATGTCAATGGTTCAATTTTTTCCATTCAATATACAGAAAGTTGGCTATTCAGCTGATCATGACTTTCACCAAGCCTGTCACAGCCTTTTGAATATGTTTTGTAGTGTTTACCATTGATGTCTATTCATTCTTTATCTTTTTATTGTGAAGCACTCTGTAAACAGTTTTGTAAATCTGTTGTTTCTGCGGCCCCTGGCTTTTGCTTGTTTTGGGTTTTAGGAGTTAATGGATTTGTAGCCAATTATGATTTCTTGGAAGATAGAATAAGAAGAAGACTCCACTGGGTAACATTTAGAAGTTATGGTCGTTTTTCTTGCACCTATTCAGGGTTTAGAATAATAACACAGAACTCCAAAAGCTTAGAGGAGGATCTTGAAAGAAGATTGATGTTTCTGGATCTTGACAGAAGATTGATGTTTGCAATTTGTGTTCGTATTTTGTTACGATCTTTGTCAGAGAAACTCTAAGGTCAGTGGCTTACTTTGGTCACCACTTATTGCCTGAGTCTTTCCTCTTTAGCTCAAAAGGTTATGGGATATAAAAAGGAAAGAACAGACATTATTTCCTTATAGGTCATAATTATTGCCTAAAACCAATAGTTTAATTAAGTTGTAGGATTTAGGTTACTCAGCAGTCCTTTAAGGAATGTTGCAATGTTCATCGGGGTATTGAGAAATGACTAAATTCATTACTTTCTGTAGTTTTAATATAGATATGTTCAGAGTTGCACGGCGGTGTGGTTTAATGAAGTTTTACGGAAGGGACTATGATCATTTTATCTTTAAGTTTTGGTTAGTCTGGTTTGGCTTTTTGTATTAAATGAAGTTACAAAACACCCTTCAGTTTGTATTGGATGTGATTTTTTCAGCCAATGATACCTCTCATTGGTTGGAAACAGTACCTTTATCTACATGTTAAGCATTTTTGTTTGCACAGATATCTGGTTCCTTTCCTTAGAACATTGTGGTGGTTCAATTTGTTTTGCTGCTGCAAACAAAATTTCTATACCAAATTGAGCACATTGAACTATCTCATTTCCTCTTCTCGCCATTTTACTTTGTTCCAAGGGTTGGCTTGTTAGTGTTCTGTGGAACCCTAGTCTGTTCTCCTGCAATAACGTTTGTGATTCTGGCTTGTTGCTGGAGCTGATAGTATTCATTTGATATTAGTAGTTTCTGATTACAATGAGCACGTCATCCTTCTGTAAAGCGAAAGATTCACTAGAGGCTCGATTTCTCTAGCTCTGTATTACCTGCATTGATATAAACAGACTCACAGTTTCTGAGTTCTTTCTTGATGGAAAATTGTTGCCCTGTCCTTTAAAACTGTTGCATGGCTTTTCTGAACACAACGGCATTGTAAAGTGTAAACATGTACTGTATAGTCAGTATTTCGTTTAGTTTGGTTAAGTGGTGTCTACTTTACCAACTCTTGAGAATGTAACTAATGTTATTTTGGTTTGAACAATGCAATTGTTGCTCCATTTGAATAAATACGTTCACCTTGTAACATTTTGGATCAGAAGTATCATCATCGAATAGTCTATGACAATCTGACTTTGGCATTGATGAATGTGTTTATCTCCAACGTCGAATTCTGGGATTTTGTTAATAATGTAGCCATCTCTGGACTACACAGTTAATCTAGTTAGTTCACTATTTTCATGAATATTGTACTTAGTATTTTTTTTTATTTTTTTTTTTTTGGGTTCGGTTCACCCATCTCCACCGCCTTAGCTTACGTATATGCCCATCAAGATTCCTAAACAACCAACCTGAACTTCAGGACAGATTCACATGATCCCTCTATTCGCCACAATCAATCTCTCACAGATTCCTAAACAACTGACCCAAACTTCAGCATGGATCCACATGATTCGGTGATCCCTCTTAGATTATCTATCCCCAACCTCGGTAAGGTGGAGTTATTATATTAATCCCATCGAGGTTTGATAATCATTAATCAAAACTTTTCAGGGCTTTGAAATTTATCTTCACCAAGATCGACTTTTGCTGTTATATTTCAGTTTTGTTTATGTATGAGAGGATACATATACCTCAGACTTTTTACGTAACATTTGACTGAAAGTTCTGAATGATCTAATCACCACCAATTAAATTGCACTTTTTGATAATGTATTGGATCATCAAATGATGAGGTTGTGAATGCTACATCACTCAAATGCTAGGTTTCAATAGGGTTACGGATGATCAAATAATACGTGGGAATTAGGGTACTAGTCCAATTAAGGTATGAAATAAGTGTGGTGTAATTTTATTTTTTTTGTAATCATCGCACGTAATGTTCTTTACTTTTTGCGTACGAGGTTTCAAACAGATTTGATCTGAATTCGTGCCAAAAAATACATAGTGGTGTCGGTTACTTGAGGGTTTTGACTGGATGTGCATCATCTTCTCTGATTCACATGAGATGACGATATAGATGAAACTTTAAATTGGCTGTTCGCTTTTTTTTTTTCATATGAAGAATACTCTCTCCGTCCCATAATTATTATCCAGTTTGGGTTTTTATTTTTAGTTTAAATTGTACTAAAAGTGAAATCCCCAACTCGACAATAATTTTGGGACGGACAAAACTGAAACACAGAATATAAGGCCTTACTTTTTCACCGGTTTTCCGACCGTTAAAGTTTTCTTCCTATATATGCTCTATTTTGTCTCCTTGCGGATTGCTGCTACTACTACTTTCTTTGTTGCATTTGCTTTATTTTAACGTTAGGTATTCTTGAGGTCTTAGTTTTTCTTCTATTTTTTTCGTAATTGTAACGGAACAGTGTCTAAACTTACTATCACTACTTCATCTAGATTCGAGTAGAGCTGTTATTCTGTTTCTACTCATCCAAATGGGAGTACAAATGAGAAATGCATATCCTTCACCTTTTTCAGTGTAACTATCCTGAAAAATCTATCAAAATTCCGAATACACATACTTTACATTAAAGCAAGTAATTAAAAAAACATATATAAAAAAAAAAAACCATTGACAGGGAAACACAAATGTAGCCAATCACTGAAAATTGCAGCATTCAGCTCACTCCCACATACAAAGGGGGACCATGGGGTTAACATGTTTTTCTTAGCCTTTTTTCCCAGATGACACGTCCCAAATGTCATCCTGTGTTTGCTAATCAGTAACGATGTTAAGTACAGATACTGATCAAACGGGATATTCCCGGTTTTCAACTAATATATTTGAACTTGAGAGATACAGGCATAACAAAAAATTCAACCTCTTACGTATAGACACTTCAGAGCTTCAATCTACAGCTAAGAGAATGAAGCCAGAAAACAGACCAGTCATTTTTATACATGAGATGACCATTAAAGGGGAATGATCTCTCTGTCTGGCCACGATTCAATCTTCTGGAAATACTTCCTCGGCACAACACCATCATAACCCTCCGTCAATATCACCTTGTTGTCTGAAATATATAGCTTCATTCCATCTGAAACAGAACATCAACCTCTTCAAAATTTAACGTTCATAATTCCAAACAAATAACACTAAAGAGAGAATTATATTTGTTTTTTCCCTCCCATCTTTTCCAGATTAGCAGACTGACCTTCCAAAGCTTTTTTCACATCTAGAAAGATCAGCACATTAACATCCCGTCTCATGCCTGCAAAGTGACATCCTCAGATCAATTTCACCGTAAACTGACCAACTTGAAATGTTCAAAACGTTATAAATAATCATCATCGAATTATACACCTATGGTCAAGCCAGCTAACAAAGTGTATGTCCCAGTCACAGACTCATCAACCTAGTTATTCCTTCAGATAATAGATTAGCTCGGGTTAAAATTATTAACGATTCTTAGGTTCACATTAAATTATACGTGCAGTTATATAACTCGTTTGGCATGAGTTGCTTGAAGATTCTTTGGTTTACATCACATTTTATGTGGAGTTGCATGACTCATTATGCATGATTCAAGATTCAAGATTCTTAGGTTTATATTACATTTTACCTGCTATTGCAAAACTCATTTGGCATTGAAAAAATCATGTTTCCAAGTTATTTTTGGTGATGGTCTAAAGTCTAAACAGCTCCTACAAGTTGCAGTTACAGTCTAATTACTACTCCGTCCCGGAAATGCAAGCCAAACACTTTCAATAATTTCCCTATTTCGCTGTAGATTGTGTATATTTAGGGTACATTCAGTCACAAAGTAAAAAGTCAGTTAGCTCAGAAATTTTCTGTGAAGGGCAAGCAAAATTGTCACAAGAAAAGAAGTGGCAACAATAAATTCCTTAAATTCATTAGATAAAGGAAGGCCTTCAAAAGTTAACTTACCACTAATCACTTCGCCATCTGTTGGCAAACCACATGAGAAGTGGACATGCAATCTTGTCATGCGTTTCAACCCTTCTTCCAAGATCGAATTCAAATTTCTCTTATAGGTCCCATGTACACAAACTGAAAATTTCCAATATGAAGCAACAGAAAACTTTATCACATTTAGTAAAGCCACTAATTTTTTAGCTCCGAGATATCTAACAAATTAACAACTAAAAGCATCTTGACCTGGAATTTCCTCAGCAGAAAGAAGAGGTTTCAACAAACTTTCGGTTTCAACTACCTGTGAAAGGGCAAAAACAACATAGTAATTTAGTAAAAAGCATAAAGAGAAGTGCGCCTGATGTCAATGGAAAAAAAAACAAAACAAAACAAAAGAAATGCATCTGACGAAAGGAAGTTATACAGATAGATCATAGTAAAAAGGAAAAATCATTGAAGTGTGTTCTTGTGTACACAAGTCAAACAATACACAGCACATCCTACAGAAACTTGGTATTCTAGAAAAGAATTCAAACGTAGAAATCCCTACAGCAGAATGTTCCAGTTCACAGTACACGGACAATAAGAAACAGATATCCATCACCTCCTCAGAATCAGGCAGAGTAAAATATATTTTAATGACTAGAGTGACACAAAGAATGGTACAAAATCCTTATATTGATTTTTTCTCAAGAGAAACAAGTTAATAATTCGAACCCTAGAAGAAAAGATTAGACCTTGATAGAGTGCCCTTGGTTTGCCCGTATCCAAAGCTCTCCTTCTTCCAACAGGCTAAATCTCTGCTTATTATCCTTCCGGACTGCCTACGAAATGAAATACATTGACAACAAAGAAGATTTAAAATACATAAGTAAGTTATCCTAAACAAATTTTCGTTTCTCACATTAAAACCAATTATGCAAAAGTAAAGACAAAGATGAGGTCTCATACCTCTCTGATATCTTCAATTGTGTGTGATGATAAAGGAATGTTGGCAAAAGTCCTTAAATTTAGCTTTAACAAGTCTTTAACCTTAACGAATCCATCATTTCTCATATCCAACTTCAACTCAGCAGCCATGTGCCGTAGAACACGTGTTCTGAGATATTTATAGCAAAAAGTCATACTCCAAATCATATCTATCTTCCTAAAGATGTCAATCTACTGTCAATAAAATCCTTCAGTTAGCATGACTTGGCTAATGTCCAGAAAACAACAGATCGACATGTTCATCACAAGCAAAACAGTACGCAATTTCATTGATCATAGAGGTGGAAGCAAATTCTTAAAATTGACTCTACTTTAAATAAAAAAGGCCAGATTAAGCCCAACCACATTAAGATTGGTAAATTTCAACACGAAACCTAATGAAGAAAGAACAAATTTCAAATCAAAAAACAGAACCAAGGAAGCAAATCTCAAATGGCTATTGCTTACAGTAATCTTCCAAGTGCATCAATCTTATCTTTCCCAGCACCACCTCCACTGCCGCCGCGGCCTCGGCCTCTTTGCCTATCCCTATTACTATTATCTCTCATACCTTGTCCGCTTCCTCTCCCTCCACTGCCAAGAAGATACAAACAATCAAAAAACGAAGAAACAAAACAAAGGACAAAGGGATTCCACCATAACATTAAGCAAGCTCAGAACATTTGATCATGAAGGGAAATACTTACCTACGAGAGGAATAAGAGGATGCAGAGAAAGATGAAGAGGGTTTATGGGGCTCCATGAATTTGAAGAAAAACCCAGAAAACGAAGTAGTCGGAGCAGCAGTGACAATGCGGCAGCGAAGAAGTAAACGAATGCTGTTGCTGCACAAAATTGACAACATTTGATACTTTGATTATTAATGGATACTCGGAAAGACCTGCAAACTGATCAAACTATATACCTGGGTTAAAAGGCATTGACACAGTTACAATCAACTCATTAATGTAAGGATTCAGATTGGCAGACACAAAAATTTCCAGTTTTTTTAAAACTAAATAAACAAGATAAATCAATCAAACCCAATACACAAAATCCAACGGTGAATTCAAAAATTCAAAACACCAAGAGCTCACCGGAAAGCTTCGGATGCCTCGATCGGAAGAGTGCCGCCGGGTTTATGCGGATTGGGGAAGCAGCATTTGAAGGCGGTCAGCCTAATTTTTAACTGGAAAGGAAAAAGAATATAAAGAACCGGGCGGTTCAACCAGGTTTATCCTGATTTTCGATTAACTCGGGGTTTTGGGTTTTGGTCGTTTGGTTCTAAGCTCAGCCGGGTTTTCCCGCTTCCAGGATACACATTTATCCTCTTCTTCAATCTTCACTGTGAATTTGGTGGCCTTCTTCTTCCCAGGCTTCCTCTCTGGCTGGGACGTTCTCGAGCATTTCTGGTAAGCTTTAACAAAACTGTCTTTATCAGCCAATTTAAATATACTAGTTATTATTGTTCTTTTTCTTTTTGAGATTCGTGTGTTTTTTGTGAAGAAGTTTATAAGCATCCATATCCTATGCATTAGAGTCGCATGAATTATTCCAATCATGCAACTGAATTCTAGGTTTTGAAATCAAAGATGAGTCTTAAAGAGTGTTTCTTTACGAAGTTTAAACGATTTCACCTGTCAAAAAGGGTTGCCACTGCGGTTGCGAATTAGTGGTGGGGTTTTTCCTTGAATCAGGGATCGAGTGGGGATAATGTCAATACAAGGAAATGGTTCATGGAGAAACATGATAAAGGGACTGCTGGTAATGGTAATACAGCCAAGCTCAAAGCAGCAGAGAAACTGTTTCCTGCTCTTTTGCAGTTCCATTAATCGCTGGCTGCAGGAGTCCTAGATAGTAGCATAGGGAGAAGGAAACTAGGAAATACTTTGCTTCAGACGGATGGAAAAAGGAAGTAGAGGAATTTCCAGCTAAGAGGAAGTTTTAAGCAGCTGAGTTGATGTCTCCACCTGGGAAAAAGGTCAGCAAGAAAATGAATAATGATGATGACTTTGTCTTCATTACCACTAAGAAAATTTCAGCTGATGTTGTCCCCAGCCAAAAAAGTAAGATAAAAGTGAAGAAGCTGATAGTCCTTCTGTCCCTAAATGATTGTTCAGTTAGGATTTTCAGTTTTTGTACAATTTTGACTAGAAATGAAAATCCAAACTGGACAATCATTTTGGGACAAAAGGGAGTATTAAGGAGATGAAAGTCTAATTCAAAAGCGTCAGAAAAAGGGCGTGCTTCGAGAATTGTGACAACAGCTCCTGGTGGCCTAAAAAGATGGCTGTTGATGACAAAAGTGATGAAGCTGAAGCTGATGTGAAAGGAGCATCAGCTGCATCAACTGGAAGACGAAGCAGAGGTAGCCAAGGAATATTCCACACGAATATTCTGAGTAGTTTGTTGCATCCGTACTCCAACATTTTGTCTCTGAAGTTGGGGTTGCTCGAAGGTCTTAGCCACCTTTGTAAAGTAAATTTCTTGAAGGTTTTATTTGTTAGTGCAATTCACTGGAGACTTTTTCTTATTGTAGTGCTCTCTGGTATTCGGATGGGAACTGGCTAAAAGTCCTTGCCATGGCTACTTTCGAATAAATAAAGAAGTGTGAAGTGTGATGCTGTTTTATCACTTGCAAGTCGTAAATGCTCTTTTGTTCTTATGATTTGTTTTTGGATAAAACCTGTCTTCGAAAACAATAAAAAATGTGTTCTTAAGCTTTCAAGAGAATAAAATGACAGATGCATTCTGTACTTATATATGCCAGTTCTTTTCTGTATTGGTCAGGCTGAACTTTTTGGCTGGCGTGGTGTCATGAAATGATGAATGCCTGCAGGAATTTCTAATGTCTAGCTTCATGATAGTTCATAATTTGGTAAACCCCTGTGTTGCATTGGGTTCGCAATTGTCTGTTAGTGGTCATCGGAATTACCCGTTTGTGGTTAGATGCAATAAACATGTCTCCTCTAAGGGGGATATTGCCTCAGTCTCCCTCCAGTCTCCATCTGTTCCAATTACATCGGATGCTGTTGCTGTAGCCAGTGACAGGAAATACGGGAGTAAGCAGGTTATCAGCCTTAGTCCATGCCTGTATGACTACATATTAACAAATGTCAGAGAGCCAGAGGTAAAAGTTTCCCCTTAGTTAAAATCTTGTTTAAGTGATTAATCAGATTTCATTATTTGAAGCTAATCTGAATGTTTAAGTATGTTGTGTTGTTTTGTCTCAGATTCTTCGTGAACTTAGAGAGGAGACATCAAACATGCGTGGTAGCCAGATGCAGGTTTTATGAGTTGGTTTACTATCTGTTGTTCTTTTATCTTAGTGACGGACATGCTTGTATATTTAACTCATACATTTGAATAGGTTTCTCCTGATCAAGCACAACTACTTGCTATGCTTGTTGAAATCTTAGGAGCCAAAAAGTGCATTGAACTTGGGGTTTATACGGTATGTTGAATCTTAATTCTGTTATATGTTAAAAGCGATTTAGAAGACCCTGAACAAAACATATTTGATAATATATCACTCATCTTTCTGGGTTGAACTCCCAATAGAACTCTTCTTTTTTCCTTGATAAGTAATTAAAAGAAAACGGAATATCACATTAATCGTGAGAAAGCAGAATTTATGATTACATGCATTCATATGTAATTTTATCAATGATAATTGGCTAGAAGCAGTTTGTAAAACATATATGAGGAAACTTGATGTGAGTAAAATGTTGGAAACATGCAAAAGCTATGTTTTACCACTTCTTCAGATTATCCCTGCAAGTGCTTAAAGCTTATGTGCTTCTTTTTTTTGTCCTTGGTCCCACACTTTTCTTTCTGGAATGTTGCCTTATGTTGAAGCCTCTGTATAGGGATATTCATCTTTGGCAATCGCATTGGTCCTACCTGAGGGAGGTCGACTGGTTGCATGTGAAAGAGATGCAAAATCTCTTGAGGTTGCAAAGAAGTATTATGAGCTCGCTGGTGTTTCACATAAGGTAAATAAACCTGCATTACCATAGAAACATAGAGACTTGATATTTGAGGCTTTGTCTAAAGACTCTTTTTCTAGTGTCTGGTGACGATAAGCACGAGTAAATGTGCTTCAATCTGATCTGGTGGAGCAATTAGCAGATGATAATTAATATTGGAAAGAACTAAAAGTACATACAAACACACAATAACTTTCTAGTGTCTTGTTCTTTTGCCGTCTGCTCAGTAGTTTTCAGTGTTGTTGGGAATACCACATTTTGATATTAAAATGTGTTTTAATAAGACTTATTTGGATTGTTTCTACCTCATCTCTTTTGTTGTCAATGTGATTCGCTTGTATCAGGTGGATGTGAGACATGGACTCGCAGTGGGTACTCTGAAGTCTATGATTATGAATGGTGAAAGTTGTAGGTACTCGAATGTTCTATTTCAAGCACTACTAGCATCACTCTCTCCCCTTTGGATTTACTATTTATTTGTAGCATGCACTTTCCTAGTTGCTACTTGGTTAATTCAACTTCTATTCCTCCATGCAGTTATGATTTTGCTTTTGTTGACGCTGAGAAAAGAATGTATCATGAATACTTTGAATTGCTGTTACAATTGGTCTGTGCTGCAGCTCATCAGATATTCTACTTTTTCATTGCTACCCGGATTCAATCTTTAGGAAAATTGGTAGGTGTGTCTTATGTTAAAACATATTACTATTCCGCAGGTAAGAGTTGGAGGACTCATTGTGATTGATAATGTTCTTTGGCATGGAAAAGTTGCTGATCCACTGGTAAAATGCTGAACTTGTATGTTGGCGAAATTGTGTTGGGGTACCAAAACTAATTAGTTTCATGAGCAGGTGAATGACTCTAAAACTATTAGCATAAGGCATTTCAATCAGAATATAATGGAGGATCAACGCGTGAGCATAAGTATGGTATGTGTCAGATGTTCTGTTTCCTTTATATGTTGTATAAAATACATGTTTTTCATTCTGAAATTTCTGCAGGTGCCAATCGGCGATGGAATGACAATTTGTCGGAAGAGATAAAATCGTGCAAGTAAATGGATGAAGTTGATTGCGATAGGAGTCGGAGTTGAGCTTGCCCTGGAAATGCAGGGCTGAGGAAACTAGGAACAGACTCGGCAGGCAGAATACCAAAAATTTACAGATGTATCACTCAAAACAAAGCCCAGCTGTCAAACGATTTTACTAACTCGTTCTTTAGAATTCTAGGAAATTTTGGATTAAGTTTGATGACTTGTAAAAATTTGTTTATATCCCCTGCAATGGTTTTGAAGCGTTGTTTTGGCATGAGCATTTTTCATCGCTCTCTCACCCAAACGCCGAAGTTACAGTACTTCCCATTCCTGAAGGGTTAAAAGTCTCTGCCCGTGGGGGTTTAAGGTATTTTACACAGGGTTCAAGAGTTTAAACTGAATAAGATTTGTTTGTGAATACAATAGGCATAATAAACCTTGTTTGAAATTTATGGATCCTATCATGAACTTCTCCTTATTCTACTGGCGGTAGCGTCTACAAACAAGGCTGCTGCAACCATAGTTTCACCTATTTTCATCAAGAGCTATCAATTTGTAATAGGGTGATAGCATTATCAAGCATACAGTGGATAGATTATTCTACTGTCGTTCTACCAAATTCATTTTGTGATACTAGTACTTCGCAAAAGAAAACATAAAACCCTAGCAGAAGATAGAGAAGTGCAATTTGGAGATGCAATTTAAGAAACATTGGAACTGTTTTTCATCTAATGCTAGAAAACAGTATGAAGCTTCAGTTAAATCACTGAACTGCTAAAACATCATAGGTGCAAATTAACACTAGTTTACCCATTCTTTAAAAAGTAACATCCTTTGGGAAAAAAAAAATCTCATTTAACAAGCAGAAACTACAGGCACATGCTCTAAGGAACTCAAGTTCAGACTCAGAAATTTGAAGCTTCAGCAACTCGGATATTCTCTATGCCACAAGCGTGCTGGCGGTGGTGGATTCACTGCAAGACAAACCAGAGCATGATTAGCACGATGACCAGAAGATAGACATGAACAAAATGTATGAAAGATGAGCATATTCTCAGGTGATTGCATTGAGCTCTTGAAAATCTCACAAGCTAAAACATAAAGGCAGAGAAAGCTAACAACTGAATTTGACTTACTACTTCCAGACCGGGGGAAGCTTCTTTGTTTTCTTGTAGTAGCGAGCAAGGCGGTGAATCCTGCTCTCCACAAGAATCAACCGGAACTTGCTGTCCTTGTCCTTCCTATTTCTCTCAAGATGCTTCCTAATTGCAACTGCCTTCTTGATAAGGTGGTACAAGTCTTCAGGAATTTCAGGAGCAAGTCCTACAAAACCACAAGAGAGCTGTCAAATCACCTGATACATCTGAAATGCAGAACTGGAAATAGTGCATGGCAAAAGCAAAATAGAAAGAAACATATCAAGAACACACACCATGTGCCTTCAATATCCTCAAAACCTTGCTACCAGTTACACTCTTCACCTGAGCAATGCCATGAGAATCACGGAGAATGACACCAATTTGAGAAGGTGTCAGACCCTTCTTAGCAAATTTGCAGATGTTTTCCTCAACCTGGTAGAAACAGCAACACAGACACATTAGTTAAACAAAAGCCAGGATTAGTTAGGTGAAAAACCAAAATAAACTCTCCAACTATTATAAACTCCATATCACAAATAATACCCCCCAAAATCATATTCAAGTTTATCCTTTTGGTTGGTCCAAGAACTTGGGACATATGAAATCGAGAATAACAAACATCAACAATCTATCATCAGAAGTGCATAGAAGCTCCTACAATCGCATTTAAAGTCTAAGAAGTAAGATTTAACCAAAAAAATCTCATCTATAACTCCCAACGCATTTCAGTGTACATTAAGGCAACCTACATTCCACAGAAAAAACTCAAGACCAATTGCCAACATCACCAATGCAAACATATAGTTCTCTGTTCCTAAATTCAACCCTAGCAGGGCACTAATTCAACCCCACTCCACATATTTTCAAAATAACTTGAAGCAATGCAAAAGAAATGTCAAATGAATCCCACAGAAAAACTACATAGGAGATTAATCAAACAATCCGCTTCAATTCAATTACTTTATACATAAACAATCAACATAATGTGCAAGAGCGAGTTAACAAATTCCAAACACTCGATTCAATATCTTCAACGGCGAATTTACAGATAACAATGAAAAAAAGCGATAAAAGGCAACGAGAGCGTGCGTGTACATACATCCTGAGAAGAAACTTTGAGCCAACTTGGTGGAGTCCGCTTGTACGGCAGAGCTGAGCTCGAAATACCCTTACTGCCCAATCAAGATTGACAAAAAAACGAAATTACAAATCCAAATCGTTGTGAGGAAAGCAAATGAGGGAACAGACGTCGGAGAGTGAAAAGAGAATAAAGGGGGGGGCTTACCCTCGACTGTGCATACGACCCATGGTGGCGTTGCGGTGGTGTTGCTGCTTCTGGCTGTGCCGTCACTGGAAACCCTAGAATTCGCTAAATGGAGGGTGTGAGGATTTTAGACTAGTTTTGCGAGGAGTTGAAATAAAAAGGTGTACTATAGATGGGAAATTTATGTTTTTACCCCGTTCTTTTAGGCTTATTTCTATATTTTACCTCGAGTCTAGTTTTATAAATATGTGATCCACTATCTTATGGGAAATTTATGCTCTTGCCCTGTTCTTTTAGGCTTATTTTCATTTTATCCTTCGAGTCTCCTTTTATCAAGATGTGATCCACTATCTATCTTTACATAAATAAAATTTACACCAAAGAGTCCTGCAATAGTATTTTGAAGACAATTCTCTGAAATTAAAGTTATACATAGATTTACACTGGAATTGTAAATGTCGTAGACAACTTCAGTTGTAATTACAACACAAAACATGACAAAGGATAGTGGTCATTAAATGTTTGATGATACTCCCTCTATCAGTTTAAGATTTTACTTTTAGTAAAGTTTGAACTAAAAATAAAAATTTATACTGGACAGTAATTTTTGGACAAAGAGAGTATTATTTTGGTAGTTAGATTTACCAGGACAATCTACCCTATGGAAAGCTTTGTTGTGAAGTTAAATTGAGGTGCATTCTCGGGTTTTTTTCCCAAAAAAATTAATTAAAATAAACGTGGACAAATTTAAATTTTTCAGAATAGTAGTTGGACAGAAATATATCCCTTGGATTTTCGAAATCCGAGTTCTAATTAAAATTAAAGATTCGGATTTCGTAAATCTGAGCCTATATTTAATAATAAAATAATAATTAAATAAATTTTGTTGAATAATATTTTTTAAAAATTCTTAAATGAACAGTGCCGTTCGGATTTTCGGAATCCAAATTTAATTAAAAAAATAATAAATTGAGGCGCGAAATATTTGAATTCAAATAAAGAGTCCAGGACCTGGATTCCTTAAATAAACAGTAGTCCTCGGATTTACAAAATCCGAGTGTACAAAAAGAAAAAAGAAAAAAAAAATCAAGGCGCGAAATTTTTGAATCCAAAAATCGGAAGTCCGTAATCCGGTTTTCTGTATTCGAATTTTGGGAATCCGACTGCATTTAATTTTGGTTGGTGGAAGTAGGCATGTGCCATAAATTGGAGGACCAAAAAATAAATAAAAAATTCGAAATTGACCAAACTCGGATTCAGGAAATTTGAGGTCACGGTAATTCGGATTTCTAAAATCCGAGTTACTTACGGACTCGGATTTCGTAAATCCGAGTTTAACGTGCTATAAAAGAAAAAAAAATTCAAAAAGTTCTCATTCGAGAATTGAGTTGGATTTTCTATTTTTGCAGCTCAAACAAGGGCGAATTGGAGCTTTTGATGCATTCTTGCCTCTAAATACGTGGGAATCGTTATTTGAAAGAGGTTAGATTGCAAAACCATATTATTTAGTTTAGTTTTGTGTTATTTTGATTGTTTAGAATGATGTATGATAGATTAGGGTTTATGTTGGTTAGCTGTTTGGATATTTTAGGTGTTGATTTTGAGGTTAGAGATAAGAAATCATAGTTATTCATGAGATATGGAAGTTGATTTATAAGTATTTTAGTATTTTATAGGTTTTTTGAATTATGAATGAAGTATGTATGGTGTATTTGTTGATTTTGTTATTAAGAAATGATTAGTTATTGATTTTTTTTAAAAGTTATCAATGGCACGTAATGTATCGTACATGCTTAATTTGTATCATACAAGCAAGTATGTGATAGAGAATGGTAGCATCAACACTTTTTCGAATATGCCGGATGATGGTTTGTTTGTTGAGGAAAGGTTGTCATGTGTAAGATTTGTATGACACTTGGTTGGGATCCAGCACACGTGAAACTCCACCTTTCTTTGATTTTCGATAGTTCCGGTGGTAGGCGTGTAGTGAAGATCAAGAATGATTCGCATGTAGAGTTCATCAACCGTGTAGATCCAACTAATCGACTCCCTCCGACTCTCTCCACTCCGGCAACTCCCTCCTGTCCCGGCGACTCTATGAAACTCCCGGTAAGTTTTTTTCTCGTTAGTTTTTTGTTTTTTCAATTTTTTTTTCAGAAATCCGAATGTAGTGAAATTGAAAAACAATGAGTTAGTTTGGTGTTAGTTTAGTGATTTTGAATTGCCAATTCGGGAATCGTTTGAATTTAGGCGGCCAAATTTTGAATTTTTGATGTAGTTGATATAGTCGGTTAGTTGTGTGTTAGTTTGATGTGTGTGATCAATTAGTTTGATATTGTATATTGTGTGTTAGTTTGGTGTTAGTTGGTCAATTTATATACATAACTAGTGTAGCTATACCGGACATTGGTTTGTGTTGGATTTAATTAGTGTAGCTATTTGGAATTGTGAATTGTATATTGTGAATTGTGAATTGTAGTGTAGTTTTTTTGGTTGAATTGTGTATATATGTGGTGCAATATGTAGTCATGCAATATGTAGTTAGGAAATCCTAATGTAGTATTAGTTTCTTTTGTGGTTAGTGCATCATTTTTTTTTGCATATTTGGATTGATGTTTGTATTGGTTGCCTTGTGTAGGATTGAAATGGTGGAGGAGGCATCGGGCTTGCAATATGAATATCAACCTAAACATCTTCACCCGGGACCGATACAAGATAAAATGCTATATCGTCAAACAAAGCATAGGTCCCAAGCTGTCTATGAGAACAAGATACTGGACATTAAAACATTCCGCCTCAAGGACCGTAGATACGACAGTGATTTTTGGGGGATATACAAAAATACGGCACCGGAGGTTAAGAAAGTCATTAAGAGAGCCGGTTTTGAGGGGATCATGAAAGTAGGCTACAAAAGAGTGGATCCCGGTCTCATTACCGCGTTGGTAGAACGGTGGAGGCCAGAAACCCACACTTTCCATTTCAATTTCAGAGAGGCGACTGCGACACTACAGGATGTCGAAGTCCTCTTTGGTATTCAGGTGGATGGTGACCCGGTGTATGGGACGACAGTTAGCCGGACTGCAGATAAATGGCGAGATCGATGTGAGGCTTATTTAGGATTCCGGCCAGCCCAAGTAAATGGCCAATGTGTTAATGTTGGTATTTTTCGAGGATGAGATGGGTCGTGCACTCCCTAAGAATTCCACAGTCCATCGATTCGAGCAAAGGGCTCGGACACTTATACTACATTTTATTTGCAGTTTCATGTTTCCTAACAAGACGCAAAACATTGTCAATCTGCAGTTCTTGGCCCAGGTTGAGGATTTGGATCAGTGTAGTCGATACAGTTGGGGATCAGCACTGCTGGCTGGTTTGTACTCTGGACTGTGCGAGGCATCACAGTACACCATGTACGACGCCACTGGCTGTCTATATTTGCTACAGGTACGTATTAGTTTTCACTTGGTGTTATAATTATTTTTTGCTTTCGACGTTATAATTTGAAGTTTTAACATTATTATTAAAATTTACTAGGTATGGGCGTATGAGCGGATCGAGAGAATCGCGCCATAAAGAAAAGGAGTAGATTATTTGTTTGATGAGACCACTCCATTAGCTCGGCGGTACGTATTTTCAGTTCAAAATAACTCAATGTTTATTTCTATTTGTTTTTCATTTCATATTTTTTACTAATTCAAATGTACCCCTTCGTGTTTGTTCATTAAGGTTGGAATGTAGGTACACCTACGGAGACGCCCCACGGAGCAGCACCCCACCTTTTAGAGATCAATTAACAAGCTGCGTGTTGAAGATGTAAGTACTTAATTTGGTATTTATATTTACTTTGAATTTGTTTTCGTTCCGGTTATACTATCTAATGAAATTCTTTTCGTGCAGTTTTGGTGGCAACCATATGCAAAGGTCCTTCATAAACTCCCTGATTTATGTACACAAGGCCAAGCCATTTGAACGACCAGGTGTTGAATGTTCTGTTGGGCTATTAGGGAACCCCACGAGTCGGGCAGAGTTGTGAGACAATTTGGATACATACAGGATGTTCCCAAGCGTCCTATGATTAAAGATAACGCAGCATTTCTTCTCGATCACGCCCACAGTATGTCTGGGTATCCTAACAACAATTGGGTGGATCACCATTCTACAGTACGTCGTCATTGGAATAGGAGAGAAGAGTACGTGCTACAAGATTTGGAGGAAGGAGACCCTGGCTCCGTATATGAGGGGTACTATGAATGGTTCATGGTGAACACTGTCAGACTGATATCCAATCCCAAAAATTATGAACCTCAAGGATACGAGACTTCTTCAAGCCGAGTGAAATTATATGTGAGTTCATTCTATATATTTTTTTTTATTTCTTATGTTTTTATTTTATTTTTTTAGAATTTTACTCTCTTAATTAACGTCACAATTTCTTTTCAGGGTGAAGTATTGAACAACATTCGCGTGAGTTCCGAGAAGTTTAGAGAAAAACAAGAAAGATGAGAATCTCCTAGACGAAGAACTCGACAAACATTTGGATGATATCATCAATCAAACACATGTTGCTTTAACCCTGGATGCAAATGATGAGATGGACGTGGAGGATACCCAAATCCTGGTTGATGAAGATCCATCTTTGCCCTCACAACCTCCGCCGGGTAAAAAAGCGAAACCGTGGTCGAGAGATAAGATTGGAGAAGGAAGAAAGAGGAAGGCCCCAATCCCCCCTCGACATCGCCCCTTAAAATGAGGATCAAGCACATTCTTCTCGAGGCTCGCGCATCCAGGTCGAGACTCAATTTGAAGACATTGGTGGACCCGAGACTCAATTTAACCTTGGTGGACCTGAGACTCAGTTTGGTGGACAGTCGCAACCACAACTGGGAGTCAAATTTCTCACCATGGGGGAGTCCCAATCCCAACCCCAACCCGAGCCTTAGTTTGATGGACAGTCACAACCACAAGAGAGTTCAATACTCACGTATCTTGAGAGGGGAAACAGGATCCGGCAGGACCCAAATAAATACACTCCGGATGCGCACAATAAAGAATAAGGGAAAAATGAGACCTTTGATGTATTTTGCACATTTAAAGTAGTTTTTGTATTGATTTTGGTATGAAACTTGACTTGTTTTGTTGTTAATCGAATGCCGTTTATTGTTTTGTTGCCATTAAATTTCTGTTTTCCAATGTTTCATTATTGTTGGTGCTGTAAACAGGTTTAGGATTGGTTAAAACTAGTGCAATTTTTTTTTAGTTCTGACATAGACTCGGATTTACGAAATCCGAATTCAGACTTTTTGTAAAGGATTGGGATTTCGTAAATTCGAGTATGTAGTCAACTGAGAGTTAGCATTTTGTAGAAAACAGAGGAGATTCGGATTACGGTACTCTGAATCTACATTCATTCGGATTACCATGATCCGGGTTTTCTCAAATTTAATTTTTCAACACATATTTATTTTTCTATCTGAAAATTAATATTTTATTCATAAATACGGATTTGAAAAATCCGAATTTAGATTAATCACACTAATTTCTGTCATTAACTTAATATTGGATTTATGTAACACAAAGTCGGATTTCTCTAATCCGAGTTTATAGGGGTTCGGATTTCGGAAATCCGAGTTTACCCCCTCATTCGAATTTCCGTAATCCGGAACATATAAGTTTGTCTACAAAATTTTTGGAAGGTTTATTTTTGTCCATGTATATATAAGGAAATATATTTAAATAAAAAATTCTTACATTCCCTGTCACAATAGGTAAATCCTTTTGCCTTCATTTCTTAATGAACTAGTAAGCTCAACTTTGTTATTTAGTGAACAATAAAGTTCCTCAAAGTCCGAATTTCATGGTATATTGTTGTGTGATAATACTAGGTATGTTTGATTCCTTTTTTCACTCATTTTTTCAGAATTTTTAATTAATATTTATCACATCCCAATATATCTTTTTACATTCCCAATACCGCTTTTTACATTTCCAATACAAAAAAACACACTCAAAAAACCTTCCAAACATGACCAAAAATTTTCTCATGCACCATCAAATTCCATCTCAATAACTCTTATAAGCTATTTCGTTGACTAGTAAACTATCAACATGCTATACATACTACAATAAAGTTGTTAATCTATAGCAAGGAGAATAATTTCTTGAGAAATTTTTATTCAATTGTTGCAAATTCTGATAATTCTATTTAACGATTGCTCACATTTCCTTAAGTCACTATATTTTTTCCTAGTTCGATACCATAAAATTGTAAGAATTTGGATAACAATTGCCACAGCAGACCCAAAACATATGTCTCCGGCTCTTCGCTCATTGTCGATTTATTAAGAGCAATCACACTGGGTGGTAACTGGCTTATAAAATTGTGTCAGTTACCAACCGAGTTTTCTGCTATTAGCTGACAAAGTTATGAAAATAGTATGATGGGTCTGTGAACAAGAAAGAAGAGAGGAAAGAAACAATTAGTGAGTCCACAATTATTATTCAATCCAGTAACTTCCATTGGACCAAATAATGTTTTACGGAGATGAGCCATTAAATCTAATGTGGCATGGCCTGGCCACTGTCGTTGCTGTAAGCAAGAATTTTAGATACATCATTTACAAGATATGGATGAATGGGAGAGTACCCTAGAGTTTGCCAAACAAAATCCATTTACATAAATTTTTAGCTCAGGTTGACGTATGAAAGGGAATCATGGACTTGTACTATTACAAAAAGGCTGCAAAGATGTGCGAAATAGATAAAAAGGCAAAAGAAGGAGAGGAACACAAAGCTGACAATGGGTAATGTGGATCAAACCATATGGATGAATTCACCTGAAAAGTGAAAAAAAGATTCAACTATGAACTAACAATGATGCTTGCATTCTTATTTTTATTTTTCTAAAGTATGATGAGGTAAAGAGATTTTATCAATGGATAACTGAAAAAGGTGCATAGTTGGTCACAATTCACAAGCTATCTATCAGTGGATTCCAGCCATACATGTATGATTTCAGGATTCAGAAATTTCAATGATATTGGCAATATTGGCATGATGGTTTTGCAGCTCAGTACGTACGTTGTACAACTCCCCAGTGTAATGAGAACGTTTTGAAATTCTATCCAACTTGGGTTTTGAACTAAACCACAGAGTAATTTTAATATTTTATACTTACGTTTTTTTTTTTTTGTGTGTGGAAGATTTTGCATGATGAAGATGTATACTCCCATTTTGTAACAAGAGAGCTACCATGTATCTAAGTTCAACTTAGTATGTATTACTTCCTCTTTTTATCTGTCATATAAGAATATGTGCAGATATTTTAAAAAATATTCGGACTATGCAAAATTTCAAAATTGAAGTAAAAAGTAGATAATTGTCGTTAGGATGTGCTATTAAACGATGAGAAAAATAATAACAAAATTAAAAAAATCTGTATTTAATATTGTATTATAAATTAAGTGCCACATATAAAAAATTTAGATTCAACTTAAAGCCACGTGTTAAAAAAAATAGAGATAGTACTAATATTTGTAGCTAACTCTAAAAATGAAATGGAGGTAGCGGTATTTGTAACGGGCTCTAATTAATATTCTTTTTGTCCCTCTAAAAAAAGTAAAAAAATTTATTTCTTCGACAGACTGAAACAGTGAAACTTTTTTTTTAAAACGGCGGAGCATGAACACAACCTACATAGTCAGCTCTATTATAGCAAACTTGTTTGGCTAGGCATTGAATTGCCTTTAATTGCAAGCTAATAAGAATTTAAACTTTAAATTCCGTAGCAAATAATGATGAACTCTTCTCGCCATCTCATGTAGCTCAAAGAAAAGTGGTAGATAACCTATTGCGTTTGATCTATATCAATTGTGAAGCATTACATTACATGTAAATGTCGTAGAAAGTATGGGACATGCTTTGTTTTTTTTTGGTTGAATTTACTTTGGTTTCTTCCTGATAAGACAAACATAAAACAAGATAATTGGTCATACATGTGGGATTTGTTTTCTTGTTTTTCGTATTTTTCTATTCATTTCCATGGATTTGTCGAATTTGGCATTGGCAAATTTGATAAGACTGCCATAAAGCTCCCGGTAAGATCTGCCATTTCTAATAATATGCTTCTGTACTGTTAATGTAAGTATATATTTTAGGGTTAGTATATAAACCATATAGAAATGAAGAACCCGTTAGGATTATTGTGTATTGATACAACATATTTATAGTAAACACGGTAAAGGCTATAAAAGATTACAACAATACTCCTAAACTAACCCTAATATATATACATTAACATGTACTTCATTTTCACCTTCCATCCCAGTTTATTTAACTCGCTTTATTACGTCATTCTAATTTAGTCAAATAAACTACTTCATTAAACTGAGACGGATGGATTATCAAACTATCTCTAAAATTAAAACAGACACACATGGTAAATTAGACTGAAATCATTTAAGTCATGGTAGATAGAGAGCGTAGTGAAAGAATCAAATTGGGGAAACTGTGTGAACTGTACATACTACAGAGGAACACAAGTGGATAAAAATAAGGCAAAATTATGATGGATTGGGACCAATGTTTTCAAAATCGGGATTTCACACAAGATTGTCTTGGCGTCTTAGGATTGGATCGGATTCTGGATCAGTAGGATCGGATCGGTGGGATCGTAACCATTTAAAATATTATAATAATTCTGAAATTGCGAGTTTCAATTTCTTAGTTCAATTCTTATTTGATTTTGTGGAGGAGAAGTAGACTAGTGTCCACATACGTATCATTAACTCAAAATTTCAACTTTTATATATTTTCTAATCATTTCTCCCCTTTTTATACAAAATCAACAACTTGTACAAGTATCGACAAAATCAATGGGATCGTTGGATCGTAGGATTCTACGATCCGGATTAGAATTTTGGAGGATTTTATAAGATCCCACTACAAAGAAGGATTTCATAAAATTCAGGATCGATTTTCTAATTCCGGATCACAGGATCGTAAGATTTTAAGATCCGAATCGGAATTTTGAAAACTATGATTGAGACACACAAAATTCCTTCACATGTATTAAATTGAACGGTCTTGAAGATCGATAACAGACAAAAAAAAATGGAGGTCCATTTTAGTAGTATCACTCATTCAAAACTTTTTTTCAGTGCACACACCCACTCACTCTGGGAACTCATTCTCTCTGATAAAGACCTTTGTGATTGTGAACAAAAATGACATAAACCCAATTTCATCCCATATCATCATCTCCTTCTTCTTTTTCATTCCCTTTTTGTTTTTCCTGTTCACGAAACAAACGAATACAAACAAATGACATTACAGTTTTCCCCTGTACAATGCATAGAGAAAAAGAGAGACTTTTCTTGTGTTTTTTTCCTTGTTATAATCTTTCGTCCTTTGGACTTTAAAGCTTAGCTTATAGGTTGGATGCCTGAATTTGAAAAGGACGAATGAACAGTTTTTTTTTTCCCCCTTTTGAATTCGAATAATGGCAGAGAAATGCCAAAAATGTACTCCCCTGTTTTTGCGTGAGCTTCATCAGTTCTGAGTTGTGAATCTTTAATTACAAAGGCCATTTATTTGCTAGAGTTAGATATCAAGAATTTAATGTGGGTTGAAGAACAAACACTTTCAAAATCATATGATTCAATCTTTTATTAACCCCAGTCCCCCCAACCTACCCATTCCACTGAGGGGTAGCTAGCCCAGCTGATTAATAGCAGTAAATGTAGGTACATGATTCTTTCAAAAATTTGAATTGAGAAATCTATTCTGTCCTGAAAAATTTTGTAATGGTTCTACAATTTTGGCTAACTCATACAATGGCTATAGTTTCAACTTTCAGTAACAGACATTTCTTTTGAAGTTAGAACCTGAACTGGAATTTCCAAATCCAAACAAAGGTCCATCCACATCATAAGTAAATTGTAATGTATCTTCTTAATTAATAACAGTTACATCCCGACATAACTTTTTACATTTCTATTACACTTTTTTATATTTCTAATATAACAAAAAAACACATTGAAAAAACGATCCATACATACCCTTCATTTCTTTAACCAGGTTGAGACTTGAGATATCGAAAATGTAATAAAACTAAAATGAAAAATACAGTATTCACTATAGCCCTAGACCATCAACCTTGACATCTGTACCTAACACCTACTACTACTAGTAATATTATCATATTTTCGTTTTGTAAACAGATTTTTTTCTTAATCAGTACAATTAAAAATAGTGCTTTCACGTGAGAGATTAATACAGGCTACTGGCTGTCCAGGTTACTCAGATTCGAATTCTCCCTTCTCCCTCGGGAATCCCCCAGTTTTTGTCAATGCACACCAGTCCCTACAACCCCATTCCAAAAACTGGCCTAAAAAAGGCCTAAAACTGAAAGAAAGAAAGAGACTATTCAGTTTTCACCAATCTCCTCCTCCTCCACCACCCCCCACCACCTTCATTTTGAACCCATAAACTTTCTGGGCTTCCATCTGTAAAGAAGAGAACTACCCACTCAAAGCTAAAAAAAAAGGCAATCTTTCTAAGCTCAAGCAATGGGTTTTTCCTTTTCCTCTATTTTCTCCTTCTTCACTCTGCTGGTCCTGTTGATAGCTCCATTACCAGCACTTTCTGAGCTTAAAACTACTCCAGATATTGATTCTACTCTGTCTACTTTGCTTACTATCAAAGCCTCTTTAGACCCATCAGACCGCATTCTTTCCTCCTGGTCTTCCAATGCTACTAACCCATGCAATGGCTCATTTGAAGGCATTGCTTGTAATGAGCTTGGTCAAGTGGTCAACATTTCTCTCCAGGGGAAAGGGCTTGATGGAAAAATCCCTCCTGAGATTGGCCAGCTCAAGAGCTTATCTGGGCTCTATTTGCATTTCAATAAACTCCATGGCCCTGTGCCTAAGGAGATATCTAATTTGACTGATCTTTCTGACTTGTACCTCAATGTGAATAGTCTTTCTGGTGAAATTCCTTCTGAGCTGGGAGATATGTCCAATCTTCAAGGTTTGTTTTTGAACCTGTGCTCCTCTTTTTTGGGATAAAAGATCAATCTTTGTGATTTTATTTGAATTTTTGTTGTAGAAAGTTGGAGTCTTGGCTGCTAGATCTCTGCTTGCATGTTTTGGGTGCAACAACTTTATGACTGGCTGGCCCTTAATTTCACTTGAATGAACTTCATTTTAAAAATGATCTTCCTTTGTGTCTTGTCTCACCTTAAGTTATTGGACTAATTTGTCTCGTCAAGGATTCATTTACTAACTTTAGGAGCTCTCATATTTTCTAAACATTACTTTTCTGCCATAGTCACTAGCTGTGTGGTCACTGTTTATACCTTTTTGAACTTTTGATATATTGCGGCCTTGACGGTCACATGAAACCTTTTTGAATATTTAGTAGGCTCCTCTTTAGTGTCCTGTGTGGAAGCTTGATTTTTGCACAAAAAAGGGTTGTCCTTTGTACCTTTTATGGTGCTTATCCCTTCAAAATGCTAGACCAGATAGTGTAGGCGTGCTAAACCTTAAGATTTTCCATTTGTAAATTAACTTTCCATGATTATACAAAACCTCAAGGTTCAGAAGTGAATGTGGAGGAGATGCTTCTAGGGAAACAGGATTGAACTAATTAGTAATGCTTGATATGGTGATCTTTTTGATGGAATATACACCTTGTAATGCTGCAAAAGTGCAAAGACAACTTTGCTTCTTTAAGTTTGTTGAATAGGTTAGGACTAATATCATCTTGTCTGTCCTTTATCCACAGTTCTGCAACTCTGTAACAATAAGTTTTCTGGGAGCATTCCTTCTCAGCTTGGAAATCTGAAGAAGCTGAATGTTCTTGCTTTGCAATACAATCAGTTGACTGGAGCTATTCCCGCAAGTCTTGGCGATTTGTTGCTATTGAATAGAATGGATTTGAGTTTCAACCAACTTTTTGGTTCAATTCCAGCAAAACTGGCCAATTCTCCAAAATTGGAATATCTGGACATCAGAAATAATACTTTATCTGGAAACGTCCCACTAGGTAAATCCACCATTTCTTAGCGATATTTGCTGAATTTTGTACCTCATCTATTCTCTTGTGCAGCTGTGCTAATATTTGTCTGATCTGTGTTGGCTCTTTGTACAGCCTTGAAGAGACTGAATGAAGGATTTCAGTATGAAAATAATCCAGGCTTATGTGGTGACTTTCTCACCTTGAGTGTCTGCACTGATTCTGGAGGAAACTCCAACAAACCCGAACCTTTCGGGCCTGGTTCAAGTCGTCTTCCTTCTAAATCAATCCCTGAGTCAGCAGATGTACAACCAAATGGTAAAAGTCAGTCCAAAAGACCACGAACTGCTGCTATTGTCGGAATTATTGGCCTATTTGCCGTTGTGTCTGTAATTGGAGCTTTCACGTTCACATGGTACCGACGCCAAAAACAAAAAATTGGGAGTGCTTATGACGCATCAGATTGTCGACTCAGCACTGATCAGGTCAAGGAGGTGTGCAGAAGGAGTGCATCTCCTCTCATAAGTTTGGAGTATTCCCATGGCTGGGATCCATTGGCCAGGGGCCAACATGCAAATGGTTTCTCGCAGGAAGTTTTTGAAAGCTTTATGTTCAATCTGGATGAAGTAGAGTCTGCTACACAATATTTCTCTGAGATGAATCTGTTGGGCAAAAGCAGTTTCTCAGCTATATACAGGGGAATACTGCGGGATGGATCTGTAGTTGCTATCAAGTGCATTTCCAAGACTAGCTGCAAATCTGATGAAGCTGAATTCTTGAGAGGATTAAAGTTATTGACCTCATTGAAGCACGAAAATCTTCTGAGGTTAAGAGGCTTCTGTTGTTCAAAAGGAAGGGGAGAGTGCTTTCTTATATATGATTTCGTCCCTAATGGAAACTTATTGCAATACCTTGACACAAAGCATGGGAAAGGCAAGGTTCTTGAATGGGATGCCAGAATTTCAATTATTAAAGGCATAGCAAAAGGTTAGTGTGCTTAATATTGTTTTGTTCATGCAATTTAACTGGTAAAGACATACAAATTTTGCAGGGGGAAATGAATCACGAATCAGTTTGACCTTGATGGGCATATTTTGACTTATTAAGTAAAATGCAGCATTATGTTTCCTGGAATGGTGTATTTATTCTTCTTACTGAACTTCGTTTCTCCATCTCCAGGTATTGAGTATTTGCACGGGGACAAGGGAAAGAAACCTCCTCTAGTCCACAGGAATATATCAGCTGAAAAGGTGCTCATTGACCAACATTACCATCCAATGCTCTCAGATTGTGGATTACACAAATTATTAGCAGACGACATCGTCTTCTCCACCTTGAAGGGTAGTGCTGCAATGGGATACTTAGCTCCTGAATATACCACTACTGGTCGTTGCAACGAGAAGAGTGACATATATGCCTTCGGCATGATTATATTCCAGATACTCTCTGGAAAATGTAAAATCTCTCAAATAAATCGACAAGGGGCTGAGTTGGGCAGATGCGAGGACTTCATGGATGCAAATCTTCAGGGTGACTACAGAGAATCTGAGGCAACCAAACTTGGGAAAATTGCATTGCTTTGCACCCATGAAGCGCCCAATCATAGGCCTACTATTGAAGTTGTGATGCAACAACTGGATTCCATTTAGCTGCAGTTACTGGTTCCTCGTCGACCAGTTTCTAGTGACATTATGAAGATTAAATCGCTAACTTCTTAGTGATGTATGAAGGATAGTTTTTGCAAGTGCAATGCACCTGCTCTCTGTTATTTTGTAGGATCTAGGAATTAAGGATTATGCTAGGATATTCACTAGTCATTCATATCAGTATCAAGTTAGGAATTGACTTGGTGAGCCCCTTCACTTGCCAGACCGTATCATATGTAATGTGCACCCGGTCCGTAGCTGTCAGTGCCAACAAGTTTTATTGAATTTCTAATCACCTGGCTCGCGCTAAGGTTTCTGAACTGCTTATAGTCATTACAACCATGGGCATAGTCTTTACTGCGTTCTATTTGTTTGTAATTTTGGACAAAAGCCTGTGGAGGCTAATCATTTTGAAATGGACTTCCTCTTGAAATAGGGTTTAATTTCACACACCCCACCGGCTAAGTGCTTTGGGGTGTTACCACTTGAAACATTTCAGAAACTTAAATCTCGAGGTGAAACAAGCTTTGCAGTTTCCAGAACCCATATCTGCTTTTGGTCAGGATGAGTAAGAATGCTGCTTGAGATCAACAGATTTATGTAGTAAAGTCCGAGGAAGATATATACATCAATGTGTATACTGGATACTCGAAAAGAGTTTGTCTGACAAGTTTTGGCATCTAGAGTTTTGTAGTTACATGGCTGAATGGTTCCTATTTGATTGTTGCAGGTTGTGACACTCAGCCAACTGTGTTCCGTTTTGTCTCCAGAAGCTTCAACAAAATGAAGCCCCGGCAGAAGTAGAAGAGCATTTACAATCGAGTTGGGATGACTTTTAAAACATAACCATGCTAACGTATGACATTGAACAGACTCAAGAACTTCACATAAAGTTAATGAACTTGTTACAACCCTAACATCTGATCTCGGGACAGTCTCATCTATGCATCCCACAAACCACTCAAAAAGATTTGATAAGTTAGCATAACAGAACTCCTAGACAGTTGCTGAGAAATGGGAGTTCATCCGTCTTAGCAAAATGCAAGACGCTTAAATAAGTAAATATCAAACATCGTCTAGGAAATCAGTATAACTACACTTTCTTCACTTCTCTGGAAATGATTGTGAAGCATTTGATATATACATGAACTAATCGCCATCAGAGGAGATTCTATCGTTATTATCTAGCATTACTTTTGAATTTACAGGCTGTTTTACATTTTGTACAGGGAAAAGAGGAAAATAACCTCCGATTCCTAGCGAGGTCATTGTGCTTGTATGATGCATCCACGAGAAACAACTCCTGGCTGTCTGGACTGGAGCTGGGTATATGCCATTGTTGGAGATTCCAAATGATGAGCCTCGTCTAGTATCTTTTCCCAATGAAATCAGAATCCAAGTTATTGATGACTTCAAAAACACACAGGGACCTTTTAGCTTCAGTGGCTGATCAATACAACGTTGAATATATCTCCTCAACTAGATGATGTGATGTATCTCCCACATAGAACTCGTGCATCATTCCCTCAAGTTCAATTGAACTGCATCCGGGAAATTTCTTCAGGTCTTTTTCTTTCATTGTTGTCCTGACATTCCGGACGCTGTCCCAAAAGCCATATTGAGCGTACATATTGGAAAGAAGAATATAGGAGGAGCTGGAGTTACATGAATTTGAACTGATCAGATGCTGCGCAATTGGCTCGCCGACCCTTAGGTTTTCATGATTGTTGCAAGCACCTAACAATGTACGCAAAATGACAGAATTTGGCTCAATGGGCATTTCCTCCACAAACTGTCTGGCTTCTTCAATACGCCCAGACCGGCTGAGAATATCTATGATGCACCCGTAGTGTTGCACTTTTGGATTCACCTTGTGAACTCTTCTCAAAATCTCAAAACAGATCATACCCTCCTTAACCAATCCAGCATGGCCACAAGCATTTAGCACGGCGATGAAGGTGATATCATCTGGCTTTATCGAGAGCTTCTCCATCTCCATGAATATATCAAAAGCTAGTTCACCCGAGCCATGAATAGCCAATCCACCAATCATGGCATTCCAATGATCAATGCTTCTCATATTTATGCCATCAAATACCTTCATGGCGCACTCTATATTTCCGCACTTTGCATACATATCTATCAAAGCAACTCCAAGTTTTCCAGACACGACGAAGCCGTTATCCCTGATATAGCTGTGTAAAGCAACACCCTCTTTCAGGTTACCCAATTGGGCACTTGCTGAAAGAGCAATCAACATAGTAGCAGTATCAGGAGGTAAATCAGTGTTACTCAACATATCATGATATATTTTCAATGCTTCTACGGGAGACCCGTTCCTTAAATACCCTGTCATCATTGAATTACAAGAAATCACATCCCTTGCCGGCATGTTATCGAATAAAACCCTGGCAACATCCACACAGCCACTTGTTGTGTACCCATCAATCATGATAGCCCAACTGGCAATATCACTTTCCGGCATGTCATCAAACAAAGCTTGAGCTAGCTTCATTTTCCCATTCTTTACGCTGCAATCAATCATCATATTCCATGAAACCACATCTCTCTCAGGCATTCTCTCAAACATATCCCATGCTGACTGAAAACCATCCTCTAACTTCACATATCCCCCAAGCATAGTGTTCCATGTTATCAAATTCCTCATATCAGAAGGCAGAATATCAAACAATTCACGCGCCAAATCAATCATCCCATATTTTAAATACCCATCAAGCATCGAATTATACGAAACAGAGTCTTTTTCAAGCATTGAATCAAATATAACGCGACTGCGTTCAACATGGCCGCATTTTGCATACATGGACATCAAGCAATTATTCAGAAATCGATCAGACCCAAATTGGCATTTCTTCAGCAGCCCATGAAGCTGCATCCCGGAATCAAGCAACCCCATTTTCGAAGATGCTTTCAAAACCAAGGAAAAAGAGTACTCATCAACTAAAACCCCATTCTCAAGCATCAACACAAACATTTTCAGAGCCTTTTCAGGGTGGTTCCCATTAGAAAACGACTTGATAACTGAGTTCCAAATAAAGGGGTCAGATTTATTACGCGAGTTCTTCAAGGCGTGGTGCGAGAAGAAGACGTAATTGGCGAATTCTACAACGGGATGATGCGGGGAATTCAAGAATTTGAGGACTAATTTTCTGGTGAAGGAAGGATTTTTAATGAGGCCGGTGGTTAGCAATCTCCCATGGAGCTGATCAATGTCCTTCTGGGTTTTGAAATGTGGAGGAAATTCCAGCATTGAAATCCATGGCTGATGTGAATTCCCACAAAATGTCATCAGATTTGAGTATTGTGTTTTGAAGGTTGGATTTTCAACTGTGTTTTTCTGCAAGGATGTTTGGAACTGGTTTTTGGATAGGATGAGGTTGTTTGTTCCCAGATATTTTTGTTCTCAACGGTCCCGAATAATTTGCGAAAATGTAGTGAATCACGCCTTTTATGTAGCCACTCACGACTTCAATGCCGGTTTAGGCGGCAAAAAGCATACATTTAAGCAAACCACACTATACAGGTTTAATTTTCTCACTAATTATCAGTCATCATCCACATATACATAGCTGATTACTTAGAATTTCTATTTTTTTTTCAAAATAATGCAACAAACAAGATATTTTTTTTTTTTTTGGAGATGAAAAGAATATCATTTTCTAAGAAATTTAAGAAAAAATAACTAAATTAACATACTTGTATATTAATTAAATTATACATATTTCTTATTGATAGTTCTACTTATCCTCCTCTAATTTTCTTGTGCCTGCATGCATATATGTTACAAAAAATTACTTTGAAAATATATTTTTCACCGGAGCTCCTCACTATTTTGGAGCTCTTTCATTCATGTAACAAACAGCGAATATATATTTTTGTTTACAACTTACAATATTCGTACGGTTGCAAAAAGAAATCAAGCCGAATGCACACCTTTAATTTGTTAGAGAGAATATCAATTCTCTATTTCGTAGATAAAAGATTATGAAAAGATCAAAGTCTATACAACTAATTTCAAATATAATAGCTAGACCCAGAAATCTTATTGCCAGACAAATTAATCAGGTAGTACTATCTACGATCTTGAATACAGTATGTCACAAAATTTTGTTAAAAACTCAAATTAAACGATCTACAAACTATAAACTCAAATTTGGTAATGTAGATGCGGAAAGCAAAACAAGAAAGATTTTCCTCCGCTAGCTATTTTTCTAGGGTTTTAAGAGAGAAGATCGAAATATAGAAGCAAGTCTCACTTTAGTCATGATTAATCTATTTGTATACTTATTGAAAGCAGATGTCATAAAAAAAAATAAAATTTCCCGCCTAAACTCCGCAAAAGTGACGTGGCAGTTGCTTTCAAAAGTTGTAAAGGAAGTCATAATTTTAGGCATCTATTTAAACTTACCATAATAGATTAATTTAATTTTATAGGTCAATAAATTTTAAGTATCTATTTTTGGAAACAATCGAATTCATTTCATAATTTTATGCATATATTTAAAATTACCATAAATTAATTTAATTTTATGATCAGTTAATTTTTTTAATCATAACAAAATACTTTTTTCTTTCTATTCTACCTATTGACTCTTTTTTTTAGACATGTTGGACAGTGACGGACAACTGCCCGTGCTGATAAACTAGTAACAATATTAAAAACACTCAACCCTTCACAAGAAGCATAAAAAAAAAAAATGGGCATAATCAGTTTCCATTACCCAAATATACGGTAGCAGTAAGCATAACCTTCGTACATTTCGTAAATTTCGACCGAAGAAAACTGGGAATTCCCGCATTTTTTTTTAAAAAAAGTACTTGAACGAATTTTAATTCGCAAAAATAAAATATATGGAACTTGTTGATATTGACTGCATCACTAATACTCATTCAAAGCCTGAATATGATCTCAAACTCACAAATCGACTAAGTTCATGTACCAACTGATAATTAATATTAGTCTACCAAATGAAATAAGATCTTCAAATCTTTAAGGTATACCAAACGTGCTTAATTAATTTAGTCAGACGAATTTATTTTTTCTTCACATTTTCTACAATTATAATTAATCGCTGCTAGTTTGGATACATTAGCATCGGTCAAGTTTGGCTTATATAAACTTAACATTACAGACGGGTGTACGGTTCTTACAGTTAGAGAGTAAATACGAAAACGAATATCCCATTAAAAAAATATTGTTTCTCTGAAAGGGAAAGTGAGTTGCGCAACAATTTGTAGTTTTTTAATTTAATTGTTAGACTATTTTTCCCCCTTGTTAATTTTCTATTAGATTATAGGGCTGATAAGATAAGCTCAACATCCTATATACGTATGCGTGCCTACCTGTCTGGGCTCAAACTATTTTCTTTTCTAATGTGGCTATCACTTCTTTCGTAGTACTTTCTTCCTAAATTGATTTGGCTCTCAATCTTGATTTATAAGTTGAGGGAATGATTTAAGCTTTTTTCTTTTTTTCTTTTTTTTTTAACTTTTCAAATTTCTCTACATAAACAGTTGTTTTATATATATATTTTTTTCCCTTTTTCTTTTGTCTGAACAATGGAGAAATGGCTACCATTGACAATAATAAATAAATGATAAAAAAAGCGGAACTTCTTACATATTTCATCTTAAAAACTATCGTTTTCGTTGAAAGTAAGAAGCTAGCTTGCTTGATCAAAATGAAGAAGCATATAAATCTTGATATACATAATTTGCTGCTGCTAATACATGAACGCAAGTATAGAAAACTAATTAATAGAAATACTCGTACTCTAAAATTTTGGAGATTAATTGTGGCTCATCGTGTTTTATACACTCTTCTCCGTCACATTTCAATAGTTATTTCACTATGTGAAGTCGTGAACGTTAAACTATTCCATGCTAGAGTTGCATTCTCCCTTACAGTTATATCTGGAGTACCTCATTCTCAATTATGGGACTAGATTAAACTTTCAAGGTGTGCAATCTTATTCAACATGCATGCAACTTGAAGTTAGAAAACAAAAGTTCCAACTTACTAGTTGATTGAAAATTAAGTTTAAAAAATGACAAAATAACAAAAGTCATGCTAGGCTATGTTCTATTATTAAAATTGATGTTGGGAGCAATATAGCGCCGGCCTGAGCCTGACCTCTAATCGGAGCAATAATGTACACGAAGATTTGGAATTTTCCACATCCTCCGATAATAACAGTTTTTGAGATTACTAAAGATAGAATTTCAACCTCAGAAGAACTTATATTTTTGCAAATATACAAACAATTTTTTCAAATGTACAGAGGTAAACAAAACTGAATACTCCCTCCGTCCCATAATTATTGTCCACTTTGCCCAAAAAATTTTGTCCCAAAATTATTGTCCAATTTGACTTTTTATGGATCAAGTTACACATTTGTCCTTAGTAAAAAATATTATCCATAAAATCTTAGTGGTTAAACAATTACTTATGTAGGGATATATCCGGTTGTTTAAGGTAAAATATAATTAAGTTTGACAAAAAATAAAATCTTTTATTTAAGTAAAATTGGACAATAATTATGGGACGGAGAGAGTATAATTGATCAGAAGGTTGGAGGTCGCATAGGTTTCTGGATTTGAAAGGAAAAAAAATAATAAAAGAAAAGAATAAACTAATGATATGTGTGGTGTGGATTCTTTAGATTACTACTTCTCTACCCTCAAGCAGATTATTAAGTCGATGATCAGAAGATATTTACGAAAAGGAAAAAACAAAAAGAAAAGAAAAGGAGCATCTATAAAAGGGGATCAGAGATGCATGCTTGCGCGCCTAATTTTCGTACGTTCTTCCTTCAATTTCTAACGGTTGTTGGAAAAAGACATTGATAAATCCTCCCTTTTGTCTCAAAAAAAAAATAATCCAAACTAAATTTTGAAAGTAGATTTTTGAGATTTATAAAATCTATAAAATCTATTATAAATTTGATATAAAGATATATAATATGCTGTTTAGTTTTTTCATATTATCTTTTTTCAATTTGAATGATAACTTATTCATATATATTAGACTATTTTTTATTTTTTTTTGGACGAAAAAAGGAGTAGGAAACAACAGGGAAAAAGGATAAGTATAGAGTTCAGTTAATTCGACCCTTCAAGTATAAACTATGAGCCTTAGTTGTCGTATATATACTATGCATGCATTTGATGGATGACAACTAAAAATGTCAACCCTGTCTTGTCTTAGTCATTTCAAAATTTATAGCATCCCCGTCTTTTTTTTAGTTTTCATTTAAAGGCAGACTAGGCAGTATATGTCGACCTCCGTACTTAGTACGACTCTTCCGTGGTACTGCTTTTAGTACTTCTGTCTCTAACTCTAAACATCCTTCATCTCTGAGATAAAAAAAAAAAAATGGTTATATATGCTAAATATAATTGGAAGGAAAAAAAAAATAAATCTTGATGTGTTGTAATATTATGCAATTAAATCAAAACGGGGTTAAGGATGTTGGTGCTCCTGAGTTCATCTCGGCCATGGCGGCCGGTTGGAAAGCCAGCTTAATAGTGGAGGCGCTAGGGTTCGATATTGACGGCGGCACCAGCTAGCACGGCCATCGAAAACAACGTCGGTCTAGCAATAGCCGCTCATTACTCCGGGGAAGGCACGTTTGTATTGTACCCAATGAGAAGGCAAGAAACGACGACTATATTTGCGCCATGCAAAGAATGTTAATCGTCCCACCGGCGGTAGCAGCATCCGGCATGTTGTTACCGGAAGTGATGGTCGGAAAAGCGGAGGACGTGATGGAGAGGCTGAAGGGCGTTGACTTTCTGGTGGTTCGCGGCGGTCGCGGTGAGGATTATTATGGAAGGGTTTTACGTCAGTTTGGCCATCTTGGTGCTGTTATAATTGTTTTGCCAAATTCAGCCGTTCATAATTAATATTATTGATGATAATGACAAAATGGCCCTTCAATATAATGCAAATGTGGTGATCAGATCCACGTTTCTGTTGAAATTTGAGTTCAAGTTGAATGAGAATTTGGTTTCTCAAGAGATTGGAATCGAATGTTGAACCGAACTTTCGCGGACTTGATCAATCCATGTTTTGTTCTGGTTCGGATTAGATTTTTCCAGTCAAACGGAGAGTTTAATGTATCACGTCAAATATAATTCTGTGGAATAAATTTTGGTCGTTTAAATGGTCAAATGAATGGCTGGTTTAATGAAAAATTATTTTCAGCTTTATTTGAATTAAAGTGCCAGCATTACTTGACCATTAAGAACTTTGAATGTGAAGGTTAATGTGAATTGAATGTATAAAACGTTTAAACATTTTTCAGACCATAAACTACGCATTAAATTGCAATTTAATGGTGAAAACCGTTTGAAACCTTCAGCAAATCAAAGGTTCCTCTCCACACTATAAATAATGACTCATAGT